CCTGAAAAATTTGCTAAAGTGCCATACAACGCGCCATACAAGCTTTGACAGAGCCATCTAGTCTCCTCTTCCTCCTGCTTATTGATGAATAAGGACTCACATTTCAGCGGGGGGGGGGGTGGTGGTGGAAGGATTAACACCGCTTACAAGGATAAGTAAGTTTACAGTAATGACCAAGGGCGTCAACACTTTCTGTAAACATTGAGTTTACCGCAATGTTGCGAGCCTGAAACTGGAGATGTATTTTTGAATAATCATATAATTCGGGTATTAGACATCCCGAACCAAACTATAGCTTAAAATATACGAATGATGTACTCAAATAGCGACAGTTACTTAGGTTCGTTAGCATCTTTTCGTTTGACACGGTCCCATTTAACTTAACGAATGGTTGAGCTGTTAAAAAAATCACTCTTAGCTTCAGCACTACATGCGCCATTTGCCACTGTAATTGTTGTAGAGTCGACCAACGCACGTAAGACTAATTCTCTTTTTAACTGTTGAGCACAAGATACAAGTCACATGATGGAATAACCCGTCGATTGGGGCTTAAAGCCCCAACGAACGTTTATTGGGAAGTTATTGTAAAACATAATCAAATGAAAGTATATTTTGGTTGTACGTGTGAAATGCACAACTGAAAATTTAAAGCTCGCTTATGGATAGGTGCGAAAAAGGAGAGGACAAGGCTAGCAGTGCGAGTATGTAGCCATCCTGTCACCAGTACGAGGTTACTCACCTTTATTCTAGATCGAGCTGTGTGTGGTCCATCCAACGAACATGTTTTCTCAATGGGTGTTGTGATGAGAACTACTCAAACGAGAGAGAAGAGAATCAGCGTGCTGGGGTACGCCCGAGCTGCTGAAACGCACTAAACAAGTAATTGTAGCTTTAAATCACAAGTTGGGGGTTGTAATGTTCTCGTTAGTATTCGAATAAAACATTAGTTCTTAAAACTAACGTGAAAAAAACCCACAATAATATTCCCTGCCTGTTCCTTCAAAACTTACGTGAAAAAACACACAAAATATTCCCAGCTCGTGGCTCCAAAACTAACGTGAAAACACTGGATATCCCGGTCCGCGGCTTAAAACTAACGTGGATGCCACACAATATCCCCAGCTTGTGGTTTAAAAACTAATGTGAAAACCACAACCTAAAATTTGCTTTAAGAGCGAATTACTATACTATTTGCAGCTACTACTACTAATTTCATTATCACATTACTACTACTATAAAACTTACGTTAGTTTTGAAGCCACGAGGCAGAAGACGCACCAGATGGCGCTCAATCGGCACGTCGTCAGCAAGATGAACGAGGACAAATGCCGCCCCACTATCCTATCCCGTTTCACACGTAGCGCAGCAATAGCAGCGCCTCGCCGCCCCATCCCGTCAGACTACCAGAACACCGCCGCTTCATCAGCAAGACCTCACCTCATAACCGGGAAAGTCTCTTGAGCAGCGGATTGGTACTGAGGTCGCTAAGGAGAGCCTTCAAGTGACCTCCAAGTGCTACGCATTAAAAATGCACGACCAAGTCGCACATCACGATATTAGAGCTGGTTCGCAGGCCGCACGATGCCGCTTCCCCGAGCTACGCATGGATGGTAAAGACACCATTATGTTTACAGCAGATACCAAGGCGTCTCGTGAAAGGCTGCAGATTGAAAACCTGTTGGAGCTTCCATGGAGTGGGTGGGCTTTTGTCTACGCCTACGTGCTCTTCATCTTCTCGTTCAGTCGATTCGCAACGCTTAAGGCATTGATCACGATGTACGGCAGTCCTGATGACTACGCATTCAAAGTCAAGGCTGCGGTGATAACCCTCGGATTCTTGGAAGATCTCGTGTGTGCGACCTTCTTTGTGTGTGTTTTGTGGCTGTTTGATACTTTCAAGAGCTCAATTATTCAACGGGTCGAGCAAAAGAATGGAGTGTCGACCACAAATATGGGGAATATCGCGACGTTTACGGGATCGTGGCTTCTTTTCTTCGTCATGATAGTGCCGTTTGCCTCCGATATGCTTCTTGTGCTCAACCGAGAGATGCGATTCACGTTTGACGTCCTTGCCGCTATGATCCGGGAGAGAGATCATCTTTCCAAAGCCCCGCTGGAACCTGAAGAGGCTCAGAGAAGTTACGTAACTGCGGTGCTTGTCGTGACTTGCACTACGCTCTTCGCACTGATTCGCATGCGAGCAAGTTGGACTGACTTAACTCGCTGGAACCCCACACATCTGCTGCTGAGACCTACACGACAACGTGTTGTCAAGCAGAACGACAAGGACGCAGTAAAAATTGTCGAGTACGAAGAACTTTCCCTTGAAGATGGTATTGAGACCACAAATTCCAGGGAAGAGGCTGCATATTCCTCAAAGCGCTTCATGTACCAAGTCCTACAACGCCGCTGTGGGGTTATTCTCGTTTTCCTGGGTCTTGTACTCTTACCAGCTCTAGTCATAGCGGTAAGCAAAATCTGTTCGCCTTTAGTGGCGTACTCAGCGTTAAACACACCGCTGAACGAGCTACTTGGCAACGTATTTTCGCCCACACTGAAGGAAAGCACACTTCAAAATGCAGAAGAAGTGGAGACGTTTATTCATCCGACTGAGCAGCACAAGCTATTGGCTACCAACTCGCTGTATCGACGGACGACTGGCTTTTCCGGAGATCTGGCTTTCAATGTCAGTACTACACCTAATAACCCTCCTAATGTTCTGGTTATTGGAATTGAGTCTTTCCGGTATCAGGACTCTCGCTATCTCATCGGTGAAAGGGACCCCTCTAATCTTTACAATGGCTTGAACACCTCAGTTACTCCCAATTTCGACAGGTGGGCTAAGCGTGGCGTCGCGTTCCGCAATATGTGGTCAAGTCTACCTACAAGTAGATCAGTGGAGAGTCTCCTGTTCGCACAGGTTCCTTACGATAGTACAGTGAAAACCGGTACTTCTGGAGGCTGGACGGACACGAAGCTATATGGTTTACCGCAATTTTTCACTGCCAAGGGCTACGAAACGTTCTTCACTACTGGATGTGCGACTACATTTGATGGTTGGGACTCGTTCCTCCCCACTCATGGATACGAAACTGTGTGGAGCAACTTGAATATGATCGAGTTAGCAAAGAACGAGATGGGGATTACAAAGGACCAGTGGTTTGGTCCGGAGCATCGTGGATTCCAGTGGGGAGTTCACGACGACATTAGCTTCAAATTTCTAGGCGATTTACTCGTGAACAAGACAAAAGAGCAGAGCGAGAGAATGGCTAATGGTGAGAAGAAAAAGCCGCTGTTTCTTACGCACTATACCATCTCTAGCCATGCACCGTTCGACTCAGCGCCGACATGGTACACGGAGTTGCAGAAGCCTGATTTTTCACCACTGTATAAAGGAAAAAACCACGAAGCTGCTATCAAACGGTACTTGGAGCTGAGGCATTTCACGGACATGGAGCTAGGACGGTTCTTAGACCGCATGTCTGCCGAGGGTATTCTTAACGATACCATTGTCGTCATCATGGGTGATCATGGTCAAGCACCTGAGGCAGATTTGTGGAACATCCACGAGGACTCTGTAAGACGCGTGGCTTCGGCTATCGTCGCTGAGGGGCGACTGGGTAGGGCGGAAGGACTTATAGTTGATGACGCTGCCGAGCAGTACGACATCCTCAATACGTTAGCGGATATCACAGGTGTACCAGACGGAGGGTTCTTGCAACATGGAGTTGGACGTTCACTGAAGCGGAGAATCTCTTTTGGCGAACGGGTTGTATTTGCCAATGACCCTGGTTACAAAATGTCGATCGTACGCGGCCACCAACGTCTTCGTTACGACAGCGTGATGGACTCGATGTTTCTCCACGATACTGAGGCTGATCACTATATCGAAAAAGATTTGTTCCCAGAGCTTTCCCCTGAAGAGCAAGCAGAATGGGAGAGATGGCGCGATAACGGACGAAAGATCACAACTTACTACAAGAAGCGGTGGGACGACAAGTGCTTTGCGATCAATTGTTAGAGAATGCATGCAGCAGACCAAGAAGTATTATTGAACGCCATGGTTTTGGTGACTTTCTGATTACGAAACTGTTCAAGTTGGTACTTTGATTGACTCCTCCAATCACACTTGTGGGATTTCGCACGCTTTACTGGGAGGACAGCTTTACCGGTAGCAAATTGATAGTATTCTCTAAAATTTGTTTCAGTTTATTGATAATCATTTTCATTCTCACAAGCTGCGTGAAAAATTCACGACCAAAGTCATCAGTCACGTGTCAATTCCATTAATTCCTACTATACTAGATTGCTTACGTTCATACCGGGAGGGCTCACCAAAATAAGGTCTCAAGATACACATTTTGTATTGGAAAACCTTGGCGATTTCGATGAAACAAACAAAAAAAGCACTTTATAACGTGGCCTTGTAGCTTTTCCGAAATATTAGACCAGGCCCAAAAGCATCTGCGTCAGCGAGAATAACGAGAGCTACCAAGTACTAGTGGTCTTACAAAGAACGACGTCTTCGACATCAAGAACAAAACAACCAGGCTTCCCGAAGGATTCAATGCGTACGCGGGGCACACCACGACAATATAGGAAGCAGCACTCGCTCAGAAATTGATTAAGCTCTCCGTCGAAGGAACACTGCCAGTCGGCGTCTTCGATATCGATAATCGCCCAGTTATACTACAAAAATCTCTAAGACAACGCTGTTTGAGAACAACTAGCCCAAGATGGCCACCAGAAAACGCTACTATTAGGCATGGTCTACAGAATCTACTATCTCCGAACACCGTAAAGGTTAGTTCAGCATAAGGCGTTGAGGAACCCGGTGAAGTAATACAGTCAAACCTCTTTATATGGACACTTTTGGTGACCAACTTCAGACGTGACTCCTATAAAATGGACTGATGTAAGATTATTATGTGGTTTACATAACAAAATCCCGCATTGTTTTCTGCTGTTTCGCCTTCAACGTAGTCTCCCGAACCAGAGCGGTGACCGTTGACAATGCTCTTCGTTCGCTATCAGTCTGAGCTCCACATTGTAGAAGAAACGAAGACAGCTCCAAGCAATGCCTTAATGCAATGGCGGGTTGAATAACAGTCTCTTGGCTCTCCTCCTCCTCCTCTTCCTCCTTCTCCTCCTCGTCGTCGACAATCACGTCAGGTTCGTGGACATCCACCTCGTCATCCACCACCACGTAATCACTAGCGCTAACAGAACCCTCCCACTTCGACATCATGGCTTCCAACTCCTCCACATCATTACTGGAAACGGGTTGGTCATAATCTCCACCTGCTCGAGTTCTTCCCAGCAACGTTGCATTTAAAATTCGTGTTTTGACCCAGCAGTTTGCAATCGTTGTAGGGGTCACGGCGGCCCAAGCTTCGATGGAAAACTGTACATCTTCTAGTACATTGATCTTGCGTGCAAGATTAGCCTCGAAAACATCCAGACACCATCTCACAAAAAGCTTTCTATACTTAGCCTTGAATGACCGAATGATACCTAAAACATTATAAAAAATGACAAATTAGTTTCGTTTTGTTACCGAAAAAGACAAAGTCGTACCTGCATCCAGTGGTTGAACGGCAGAAGTCATGTTTGGAGGGAGAAAGTGGACTGTCACGTTAGACAGGTCTCGGAGAATCTTGTGGCTCGATGCATTGTGGACTAGGAGAAGAACTTTGCGATTGGTAGCCGCCATTTTTAGGTTGAAGTGGAGTAGCAATTCATTAAAAATGACGGATGTCATCCAGGCATTTTACTAGCCTTGTATACAATTGGTTTCCCTTTAATGGCCACTCCTCTTTTAAAGCACCGTGGATTTTGTGACGTACCAATAACAATAGGGTCGAGCTTGTCGGAACCGGTTGCATTGCAGCAGAAGGCCAAAGTCAAGCGTTGTTTTTCCTTTTTCTTACCGTTGCGTTAGGTTGTTGCTAGTGTTCGGTTAGGTGCAAGTCGATAG